CAAGTCTGAGAGAACTAAAAATGTCATGGTCGGAGCCCCAAGAACACATATCTTTAAGACATGGGAGAGGGAGTTGGAGCTGGAGCTCAATGTGTACAGTGCTTGCCTAGCATGCAGGAAGTTTTGGGCTGGATCCCCAGCACCACCAGATGAATAAGATGTGGTGGTGCACACGTGTAATCCAGTACTGGGGAGGTGGATTGGAAGTGGCAGGAGGGGGGCTGGAGAGATGGCTCAGTGGTTAAGAGCACTGGCTGCTCTTGCAGAGGACCTGGGTTCAGTTCCCAGCACCCACATGGTGGCTAACAACTCTCTGCTCCAGTTCCAGGGCATTTGATACCTCATCTGACCTCTGTGGGAATTGCACACATGGATCCACTTACATACAAGCAGGGAAAACACTCATACACTTAAAAATAAAAAAGTGGCAGGAAGATTAGAAGTTCAAAGTCATCTTTGGCTATACAGAGAGAGCCAGGCCAGCCTAGGACACATGAAACCATATCTAAACATAAACATACAAAATAAAAGAAAACAAAACAAAACATAAGCGAAATAAAACAAAAGAAAACAAAAAGGGGCCAGGAGCTAGGAATGTAGCACAGTTGGTAGAGTGCTTACCTAGCATGTATGAAAGTCCAAATTCTTCCACAGGGGAGAAAGAGACGTGCTTCCTCCCTTAGTCTCACCTTCTTAGGTCCTAGCCAGCAGAGTCTCCTCTTTTAAGCGCACGTCATGTATGTCCCCCAACCTACAAGGAAGCCCCCTTTGCAACAGGTAACAGGGAAACCTATAGTAGCAACAACAGTCACTACAACTACTGCATGATTCCAGACTGCTCTACAGGCTTCTCCGCATTGTCATTTCAGTCTCAAAACACCTCAGAGGCTGCGGACTAAAGTGCTTGCCTCCAAAAGCATCGGTAGAGTCCTTGCTATGCAAACATGCAGACCTGATTCTGGATCCCCAATACTCATGTAAAAGTCAGCCGTGAAGATATGTGCCAGTAACCCCAGTGCTGGGGGTCAGAAACAGGTGGATTGCAAGGGCTAGCTGGTCAGGCAGCCTAGATGAAATTGCGAATTGTGAACTCTAGGTTCTTTGAAGAGACTCAGTCCCCCGACACCTCCAAAGATGGGGGAGAGTGTGGAAGGACACTCTCCAAGGTAGAGAGTGACTGAAGGACATTTCCATGTCAACCTCCACATGCACCGGCATGTGGCCTCAGCTGTGTGTATACACACACACACACACACACACACAGAAGCTGAGCATAGCACCATACATAGAGTAATTCCAGTGCTGGGGAGATAAAGACAAGGAGATCCCTATTTAGCAAGTGCCAGGCCCATGGGAGATCCTGACTCAAAAACAAGGTGAAAAACAGTTGAGATTGTCCTCTGACCTCCACATGCATACATATGCATGCACACTTACGTACCCATACCTACAAATACACACACACACACACACACACACCAATCAATAAGCTTATCATTGTTATAAAATAGCAACAACTCAGTGGATTCTGTTATTAGGATCATCTCAGTAGAAAGTCTCAGGTTTAGGGTCCAAGGGGTACATTGCAGTGGACTATCCTTTTGGGCAAGAGGTTTATTAGAAGAGTTATTAATAACGCAGACAGATGACAGCATGGTGGGGCTCTGAGGAGAAATTAGGCCCAATGCCGTAGGCAGGGAGCATGGCAAGGGCTTCGAAGAAAAGTTCAGGCTCATGAGACAGAGCAGGGGTCCCTTCTTACAGGTCTCAGAGGAAGGGGGAGGTTTCATGTTACATGTCTGATGAGTAGTCTGCAGCACAGACCTGCTTTCAGGGAAGAACTGTGCGACTCTGGGGATGTGGAAGAAGTGGTAAAGACAAGCACATCTAGTTGAACTGTGTCACATTATACCGGTAGGGAGACTGTGTCCCTTGGTACCCTTCTGATACCCTAGGGTACCTGAGTCTTTAAACTTCCTAGAATCCCAGCACTTGGGAAGTTTGCCAGGGGGTTAGACATTCACACACAGGTTCTTGGTAGGGGGCTTGCCATTTCCTTCACAGATATTTGTAAGAAAGATGCTGCTGTAGGTGAGCATGGCCTGATAAGCCCCTAGTCTAGAACCTAACACTCAGTAGATCTGCCCACTTTGGGAATGAGAAAAGTGAGGCTTATCAGTTCACATAGAGCAACTCTTTGAGGCGGGGTTCAAGTACAGGCAGGGCTGAGACAAAGACAGCAGGTCTTTGGCCATGACTGAAATATTCCTGTGTGCACAAGGGAGCCAGGGGTCACAAGACCTAGAGCCTGAAAACTGGGCCCTCCACTCCTGAGAATTATCAGAATCCTGAAAGCCACAGGCAAGGGAGTCCTGGTGTTCAAGTAAGGGGGAGTAAAAGGGGACGGGGGGGGGGGCGGCAAGGGCAGAGTAGCAGATGCTCCTATAAGGGTATAAAGGGTCTTACGACTCCAAGCAGCAGGCAGTGGGCTGGACTCTGAGAAGAGATGACCTTATTTGTTGCTCCACTTGTGTAATTAGACACATTTGGTAGCAGCAAAAGAAACAAGCCATAGCACAGGCTTGATGGGCAGGATACTCCACCAGGCTCCAACCACGTTAATCATGGAAGCTAGAACCAGTGGGCCATTTTTCTTGCAGGCTTTGTTTGGTTCCCACCTGGAATACAGAGGACGTGAGAGGGAGGTGGTGGGCCTTCCAGAACCAGACAGCCAGTCCTAAAGCTCTTGCTGTGTCCCTCACTGGCCTAGGAGTGGAAGGAGGGGAAACTAACTGTCCTTGGAGCCATTGGTCTACCCTAGCAGGACACAGGTCCTCCAACTCCATGCTGCTGCCTGGCAATGGGGTTGATAGGCAAGACTCTGCTGGCTTTCCCAGTTCTCAGGCTCTGTATCAGGACATGAAAATACCAAAGGAGCTAAAGAATGGCCCTAAGGGGCCAGGCGTCCTCATCTCTGGGACCTGCGAATGCTGTCTGATTGCAGTTGTAATTTTGAGAATGTGGGGATGTAAAGATGATCCTGACCCAGGTGGATCATCCCTAAAAGTAATCATAGTGTCTCTGATGAGAAAACTGTGGCAGGAGAGGAAGAGTGATGGCAAGTGCAGGATGAAAGGAGATATGGCGTGAGACTAGGGTTGCAGGCCAAAAGATGCTGGAGGCATCCAGAAATGGGAAAAGCTAAAGCATGGGTTCTCCGCCGCCAGAGCCTCCAGAGTAACCAGCCCTGCCAACATCGTTAAGACTTGGTTCTGGTGTCTGGCCTTCTGAACTCTATGAGAGTATGTTTGTGCTGTTTTACATCACTGAGTTGCTTAAGATAGTTATAGGAAAGGAACACAGTGACTGCCTTTGGGTATCCAAGCAAGAAAGTGTACCGTAGGTGCAGCAGCCCCAGGGAAGCTTAGAGCCTATGGGAAGTATGTCTGACAACAGCTCACTCTGCAGTGGCAGTGCTGTGGGAACCCAGGGCAGGGCCCCAATCAGGGTGGAACATCCAGTTCTCCCCAGGAACTGGCTACCAAACTGAGTGGCTTCTACAGACTGGACAGTCAACAGGTGTCTGGCATAGAACAAGTGACAGGGATAAATGCCCAGACAGCAACTTGGTGTGAATAGGAGTATTAGTTACTTTTCTGTTGCTCTGTAAAACACCACGACCAAGGCAACTTACAGAAGGAAGAGTTTCTTGGGGCTGTTACAGTTCCAGAGGGATGAGAGTCTACCATGGCGGGGAGGCATGGCAGGAGGCAGCCAGAGCACAGAGCTGAGAATTCACAACTTCAAGCATGTACAGGAGACAGAGAGACAGACTGGAAATGGGACAAGGCTATGAACTCTCAAAGCCCATGCCAGTGATATGCATCCTCCAGCAAGGCCACACCTCCTAAAGGTTCTATGACCCCCTCCAAACATCACCATGAACTGAGGACCGAGTGTTCAAATACTTGGAGCCTACTGGAGGCATTCTCATTCAAACTACCACAACAGGTGAGGTGGCCAGAGGGGAGTGAAAGGGACGAGAACATCAGAGAAGCTTGCTTCCCGGGTACGGAGAGTGGCAGAGAGGTTGAGAGTAAGGAGAGGGTCAAGGCCCAGGGCTCTGTGACAGTTAATATTGATTATCTACTTCACAATCCAGAATCACTTAGGAGACAAATCTCTGGGTATGCCTATGAGGAGTTACTAGATTGGGTTATGTGATGTGGGAACACCCACCCTAACTGTGGACAGCACCATTACATAGGCTTGAATAAAAAGGAGAAAGTGAGCTGAGCACCACTCATCTCTCCTTGCTTCCTGACTGTGCAGCTGACCAGCTGCCTCATACTCCTGCCACCATGCCTTCCCCACCATGATGGACTATATCCTCAAGTGTGTCAAAACAAACCCTTCCTTTTGTATGTTGCTTTTGTCAGGTATTTTTTTTACAGCAATGAGACAAGTAATTGGGCATCTTTTATGGTGGAAGAATGTGTGGGATGGAGGGGCTGAGCCTCAAAATACGAAGACCAAGAGAACCGACATCAGCCAGGGCTGGGAGGCCTGAGGTGGGAATGCTGCCCTTCTCCCTGGGGACCTCAAGGCACCACTCTGAGGCTGTCTTCAGAGCAGGTGACCACACAATGCCTTGGTTCACCTGAGATAGAAAAGGGGGACACACCAAACCACTATGTCAGGGGAGTCCAAGCCCAAGGTCACGTCCCTGATTTGGGTTTGGGGACCTGGGGGATGGGGGATGGCATTCTAATTGCAAAGGGACCAACAAGGAGGCCTAGAGCTATAGACTGTGTTGATGATGCACGAGCCAAGATTGTTCTTCAGAGGGATCTAGAAGATGGCCCGTTTACAAGCATCACTGCTCAAGGGCTCACAGTCATAGGTGGCAAACGTGCCAGACTTTGGACCTTCTAAAAGGATGGAGGCAGGAGGCAGGTGACTGCACACCAGGAAGAGCAGCAGGAGGAGGGCATACTTACCCATGTACACCATGGACAGAGTGAGGCTCGTAATGGTACCTTCCCTCCTGGTGTCGCATGTCAATCGGCAAAGGCGCGTGGAAAGGTGGCAGGAGTTGCTGAGGAACTGTAGAGAGAGAGAGAGAGAAAAAGGACTTCAAAAACTTTCCCCCTCCCTCAAGAAGCAATTTTCAAAGAGCTTTAAGCTCCATGAATTCCTGAGCAAGAGTGGCCAGGACAAGGGTCTCTGAGGTGCTAGCACTATCACACACCCACGAAGGGTATGAATAAATAATCAAAGCCAGCCCAAGAATCCTACATCTTCCACATAAAAGATCCCCAGCCGCGCTCTTGACAAAGACAAGCAGCTCAGTGCTCTTTGAACTTGGGGAGATTACAGGCAGGCCTGGGGAACCAGGCTCGGCCGCAAATCAGGGCTGACAGTGCTGACAGGTTGGAGGATTCCACTGGCACCTGCCCACCTCAGCTTGGCTGCGTGTGGCTTCTGAAGCATCAGGTGCTGGTCTCTGATGCTGGTATGTGCACAGGCTGTAGATATTTACCTAGAATGTTCTGTGAAGTCAGGGCCTGACCCAACAAGCTACCAGCCCCAGGAAGGCCATCTCCCACCAGCCTGCTTGGCCCACCTCAGAGTCATCTACTTGGAGAGCTAATTGTCCATTCTTGTGTGTGTGTGTGTGTGTGTGTGTGTGTGTGTGTGTCTGTGTGCATGCACATGCACCTGTGTACATGCATGTTGGGGGCAGAGGACAACTTCAGGTATCCCTCTTCATGAACCACAACCTTATTGTATGAGACAGGGTCTCTCACTGGGACTTGGGGCTCACTTGGGAAGGGCAGCGATTCCCAGGGATCCGCCTGTCTCTGCCTTTCCAATTCTGGGATTATAAGCATATGTCACCATGCCAAGCTTTTTACCTGGGTTCTGGATTCAAACTCAGGTTTTCAGACTTGCAGAGCAAGCACTTTAGTGGCTAAGCTGTTTCCCCAATCCCAACTCTCCATTCTTAATATCATTTATCAACCCAGGCATGCTGGTGGTGCCTCCAGGATTGAAAATGCCAACACGTGTGGGTCAGTTCCTGGAGCTGAGACAGCCTGTCTGTACTTGGCCTGCACTCAACAAATCATCACAATAATTGCAGGATGCTCCTTGCTTATTGAAAGAAAATGCCTGGGTGCCCCAGAGGCAAACATAATTATAGGCTTTGGGAAAACAGGGCTTTTAAAAAAGTAGACTGGGAAAAGGCTAAGAGGTGGAGTGTTCCTTGGTGGACTCTTCCCTCAGAAGGCCACTGGCCAGAGGAAGCAGGGCTGAGCCGGAGTCTGACTTCTGTGTTACTAGGGCTGTTCTCTAATACACAGGTCTGCTGGTACTGCAACAGATGAGTCAAAATTAAGCTATTCTGAGCAAACAGATTCTAGAACTGTACTATAAACCCTAGCAAATTCTCTTTTATGGTCCTGTGTTAAAACAGATAAAATGTACATTGCCGGGGGCTGAGGAGATAGCTTAGTCAAAGTGCTTGCCACGAAATGTATGAGGACCCAAGTTCAAAGCCCAGAACCCAAGTAAGAAGCCAGGAGTAGTGATGCACACTTGTGATCCCAGCACTGGGGTGGGAAAGACAGGAAGATTGCTGGCCAGTCGGTCCAACCTAATCGTTGGGTCCTAGTTCCAGAGAGACTTTGTCTCACAAAACAAGATGGATGGCGCCCCAAAAATGAAATGGAGGTTAACCTCAGGCCTCCACACACAGGTACAACACATGAATGTACACTCGTACATACATGAACATGCATATATAGACACACAGATTCACTGTTTTCACTATTTTAAATGTCTACGTGAGCAGCATTGGGTATATTCACGTCTTGACACTGTTCTCCATCCACAGAATGTTTTCAATTTGCCAACTGAAACTGTACATATTAAATACTAATCACCTTCCCTAGTCCCTGATGACAGCCATTTTGCTTTCTGCCCTTATGAACTTGATAACTGTGCTCCTTTTATGAGCGGAATTGTACAGTACTTGTTCTTTTGTGCCAGGCTTATTTCATTCAGCACAATGTCCTTGAGGTTCATCAAACTATGGTATGTGCTATAATTTTCTTCCTTTGTAAGGCTGAATACTATTCCACTGTATGGATAGACCACATTTTGTCTGCTAAATTGTCAACAGACACTTGCACTCAAGTGTCAAGTGCTACTGAAATTTTTGGTAGGGGCACAGTCTCACACTATAATCTAGGTTGGTATTGAACATATGGCAATCTTCCCTTACCATCTTCCCAAGTGCTGGGGTTATAGGTGTGAGCTACCCACATGAATTTGTTTGTCTATTTGTTTGCTTTAAGATAAGGTCTCACTATGTAACCCCAGTTAGCCTGGAACACACTACATAGACCATCCGAGGCTGGTCTTGATCTCTTTGAGGAGATCAAGGATTAAATGTGTGAGTCACCATGCCCAGCCCATCTGAATTTTTAAAAAAGATTTATTTTTTCATTTATGTGTCTGTGAATGTGTCTGCATGAATACATATGACATGTGTGCAGGTGCCCATAGAGGCCAGAAGAGGGCATCAGATCCCTTGGGGTTAGGCTTACAGGCAGTTGTAAACTACCTGATAATGGGTGCAAGAGCAGCAAGTACTCTTTAACAGCTGAGCCATCTCTCCAGCCTCCTCCTGAAATTTTACCATTGATTTTCACACACTGAATTTTAGTCTTCATCATTCCACATTTGGGACACTTTCCCTTAAGAAGAAAGAAAGCATATCTTCTCTCTCTGATGAAATCAACCTGCCAAACCCACGCTCAGTGAGGAGCTGGCCGCATGTGTGAGAACTGACGGTGGCCTGGCTCTCGCCTCTGGAGCTGCTGAGAGGCAGACCCACCCTCTCCTGAGTTCCCATCCTCTGCACAGATAGGCATGGGTATGTGGACGTGACTCCAAACTGTGACATTATGACCACATGCTTTGGAGGCTGGTGACCTATGGGAGTCAGAGATGCTGGCCAGCTTCGGGGATTTTGGCAAGTTTCTGTATCACAGTCTTCACTTGCCTGTGTGAAGGTAAGAACAGTGACTACCTATACGGATACTATAAGGACATTTAAATATCCATGCTGGCTGGGGAGACAGCTCAGTTGGTAAAGTTTGTTCCACATATGCTTGAAGTCCTATGTTCAAATTCCCAGAACCCATTAAAAAAAAAGCTTCAAATGGTGGTGTACATTTGTAACCCCTGTGCTGGAGAGGTGGAGACAGGTGGATCCCTGGGACTCTCTAGCTAGCCAGTCTAGCCTACTGGGCAAGTTCAAGGTCAGTGAAGGACCCTGTCTCAAAAGATTGAAGTGAGAAGTGATGAGGAACAATGGCTAAGGTTGTCCTCTGGCTTCCACGTGCACCTGCACACACATCAATACACCACACGCACACACACACACACACACACACAGAATCTATGCTGAGGAGACGATTAGACAGAGTCCACGCATACAGAAAGCCTACGAAAGCTGCTGTCAACTCGTAATTAATATTGGTATTTAGAGATTTCATAGTCCATAGTCAAAGTAAGAATTTACTAGGGACTGGAGGTTTACCCATGACAACCCCTGAGGAGGCTGGAGATCTAACAGTGGTCTGCTTACAGAGCAGGGCCAGCTGAGCTGCCCACACCCCAAGGGTCAGCAGAGAAGCAGTGCTTACCTTTCCAAGTACAGGAGCCTGTTTTTTATGTCAATCCTGGGGCTGGTACCCAATGACTTGCACACATGCACAGTAAACACTACCATGGAGCAAAGTGCCTTTAAAGAAGCAAAACAGGTGCTGGGAGACAGCTCAGGGCAGGGCAAAAGATTCTGCAGACAGGCACCGACTCATCTCTACAGCCCCCTTTGAATAGTTCACTGACCTGTAGCCCTTCTACCAACCCCAGGCTATCACCTGAGGCCCACTATAACAGGATTAACACATACCCATTCATTCACAGTCATGCTCACACATTCACAGATTCACGCACACACACACACACACACACACACACACACACACACACACACCCCACACACAGTCTCTGCAGACCAACTTTTCACACAGGTAAGCTGAAGGATGAAGACTGGTCCTAGTTCATAAGATCTTGGACATTTCAGCCCAGTATGGATCATCCCCTCAAGCCCCTGATGGAAGCTTCCAGAAGTGAATGCTTGCTCAGAGCTCTCAGTGAGGAAGTTAGAGTGTCCAATTCTTGAGAGAAATCACTATAGAGTCCCCAGTAGCAGCCAAGGAACATGGAGAGAAACAGAAGGAACAAGAGCTACCTTTGGGCTGGGGAGATGGCTCAGTGGGTAACAGTGCTTGCTGTGTAAGCATGAGGATTTGAGTTCAATCTCTAACACCCACATACAAAGCTGGATGTGGCCATGCACACCTGTTACCCCAGGGCTATGTAGTGCAAAGACAGACAGGAGGATTTCTGGGACTTGACGTTCTGCCGGCCTAGCTCCAGGTCCAGAGAGAGAATTTGTCCTAAGGGAATTAAGTGGAGAGTGATGGAGCAGGATATTGTGTTTTCCCATGGTCTTTGCATGTGTGCCTCCACTTGCACATACACATGTACATACTCCAGACACAGATTCACACATACACACACCCCAAATAGCTGGTTTAAAATGACATATTGAATCTGATCCTTCCACACACTGTTTTCATTGTGGGTTTGTTTTTCTTTAAAGAAAAAAAGAAATCTAAATTAAATCATGTCCTTCCGGCAGAGGGACACACACACACACACACACACACACACACACACACACACACCCCATATGCCATTTCAAAGAAATGTTTCTCTTTTCAAGTTTCAAGAAGAAACTCTTAAGTTGGGAATTTTTGATGCATCACACCCTGCCCCCTGGAAAAATGCACATTTGGTTCTGATGATCCTGCAGAGAAAGACCCTGAGGAATGGGGGTGGGGGTGGCTGGTACTAAAATCCTAGAATTTTGCTGTGCTGATTCAAACACTAAATGCTCCTTGATTGGTGAGCCCAAGGAGGGGATGTTGGTTTTAACAGGGTCCTGAGAGGAGAGAGGCCATCTT